ATAATTTGTTTCAATTACCTAATGCTTATTTTGTTATAAACGACATTTTAATCTTAAGTTACTAATAATGGGCGAACGTATATCGGTGGTAGGACCTCTTGTGAGTCCGCACGGGTAGGTACCACCACCCCGCCTATTTCTGCCGTGAAGCAGTAATGCGTTTCGGTTTGAAGGGCAGGGCAGCCGTTGTAACGATACTTGAGACCTTAGAACTTATCTCGAAGTGGGTGGCGCATTTACGTTGTAGATGTCTATGGGCTCCAGTAACCACTTAAAACCAGGTGGGCTGTGAGCTCGTACACGCATATAAGCAATAAAAAAAAAACGTATTGTGAGTCCACAGTTTCGCATAGGTACACCACTATCCTACATATTGCTGCTTGGTACAGTTTAGCGTTCTGGTTCGCAAGGAAGAAATGAATTAATGAAAAAATATACGGTAATAGGACGATATTTTATCCAGCGAATGTTCTTGATATGTAGACGACGCAAAAGTTCAAATGTTGTTATTCAGAACTTACAAAAGTTGTATAAACACATTTGCAAGCTTATCTTGTCTTGTGAATGTCCTTATTCAGATAATTTGCGGAATTCACCTATGTTATTATGCCGTTACAGATTCATAGGGCAGATTGCCACTTTATAGCAATATGAAGCCACTGAGAATATGTTGGGTTTAAAAATACTTATATATTTGCGTTTCGTACAATACAAATTTCCCAACATTAAAATTCTCGGCTATCTTCACGAACGATGTACAATTAATTTCATCGAATAAATTACAGAGCGTGCTTTTGTTAAGTGTCCATTCATTCGGAGTCACGCCTCGAGAGCTTTGTGTGCCGATAAAAGAATGTTTTTGTAATCGCCAGCGATAAGATCTAACCCTGATTTTGATAGAAAACAAACTAGGAAGCAAGTACTCTAGAATGGGAATTGCATTTTGTTGTCAGAATGTTACAACACTTATGTAATTGAGTATGTGCTAAACGTAATTGTTGCGAATGTAGTTTTTATTCCCAACGTATCTAAAAGTTTTGTGTTGCTTACTAGAGTAATTCTAATTCCCCATTCTAATTGGGAATTAGCGGTCGCTGGTATGGCGCTGGCAACACAAAATGTTTTCATTATTTTCGGGCGCAACGCTTACACAAGTCAAGCGCTTCAAGTACCTCGGTCACTGGGTAACAGAGGATGGTACGGATGATTGTGATATAGATAGGGAGCGTAGGGCGTTGATAGTAAGATGCAATATGCTGGCCCGCAGATTTACTGGTTGCGATAGCTATGTCAAACTTACAATTTTTAAAGCTTATTGCCAGAATTTTTACGCCAGTAGTCTGTGGACCACATACACGCGGAGAGCTTACAATGCCCTACGCGTTCAATATAATAATGCGTTTAGGATGATGTTGTCACTGCCGCGCTTTTGTAGTGCATCCACAATGTTTGCGACATCTCACACCGATGACTTCTTTGCAATAATGCGGAAGAGAAGTGCATCGTTATTGCGTCGAGTTCGTGACAGTGGCAACAGTCTTTTGAGAATCATATCGAGCAAGATCGAGGGACTGCTGATCAATAGCCTTTGCAGTAGGCACTTGGAAGGAGAAAAAAAATAAAATAAAAAATGTAATGGTATAAAATGTATATATATAATGAGAGTTATGTGTTAGATTTTTTAAGTCACTAACATAGATATAAGTAATTACTACTAACAAAATGTTATGGTTTTAAAAAACAAAACTGAAATAAAGAATTAATAATAATAATAATAATAATAATTATTATGTGTCATATGAAGTGGAATCAGAAAAGTTTTTTAATAAACAAAAATAACTTGACCGACAAGTAAATATCCAAGATAGGTCTTTAATTCGTTCAGCTGCTACTAGGTACAGACAGCAATTATAGATTATGATTTTATGTTAAAAATCACTGATTTTCAAATTGTTTTCTTTTATATATATTCTTTTTGTATTCGTAGCAAAAAATTATGGACCTATTTTGATGATTTTATTGTGTGTAAAATAATTATTTATTTTCAAAGCCGGCATAATTTTTACATCTCTCGGCATTCAATCTGATAATAAGAAAGCTAAAAAAGAAGATGACGTCACTTAATTTATATAAAAACGTATGAATAAAAACCGCTCTACGCTTTGTCTTTCAGTAGCTTTTAATAGTTTTTGATTATATCGCTTTGTCGATTGATGAGTGATGAATACCGAAATCCTGTAAATTTCAAATGTATACTTTATAGCAAGTTCATATAAGTTTTGCTTATAGATAAATTAGCTAACCAGATAAACATATTATATGTACCTACATGAATATTGGGTATATTAGTAATACTATAATTTTGAGCTACTAATAAAATACAAACTATATTATTTATTACAATGATAGGCATGTCAAATTTTAGTTTAAATTAATTATGTAAAACAGTGATGGACCATGTAGATATATGCTTAAGAAAACAAAACAATTCCTCATTGTTATGTGTGAAGGAAGTGTTATAATTAATTGCTGCAATAAAGGAACTGTGTAGGTGCGTAATTAATATTCATGAACCTTACCTTCTTTGTAACAATGACGCTATTCGCTAGGCTCTCAGCGTCGAAGTGCCGGAGGTATTTTCTGTTGAACCCCGGGCCCGGATGACCCCGGGACACGCATTGCCCCATATGCCCGTGACCACAGAACAACAAACTCTTATATCACATTGTATTTCAACACTTCACATGAATTTTCACACAGGAAAGTCCTGCAAGTGTAAAATGAGACAAGTTCGACACTTCGGTGGGTACCTACGCCGAATTTAAATAACGCCCACGGTTTGAATAACGAATGAACTTGAGCGTGCTATGTTGGACCCAAAGTATTTAGATCTTTAAGATACACTCTTATAGAAAATGTACTTGATCATGTCAAATTGTGCGTCAGGGAATCTTCTAACTTTATTTAACTTTATTAAATTTTGAGCTTTGCGGTGGTGACTTTGTGAAGCATTGACACTATGCCTAAACAAATAATTTTCAAAGCTTCCGAAAGTTTCAAGTCGAAAATAATCTATGGTGATTATAATATGTATGATTGCATTGTTTAATTAATTACGTATTAAGTGTGATAAACTAAATTCCACTAACATTTGTGATATCAAAACTATTTGATCGTAAATATTCTATAAAAGTTGTAAATAGTTTCTAACTTCAATACTTTATAAATTATACAGTTTTATTAGCGTCTTTGCGACAAGTGTAAACACAAACACGGTCACAATTTACACATTTTAATCAGAAGTTCGTAATAGACCGGCTAAAGTAATTCAACACTAAACGCGCGTCGCGCGCGCTGCGCCCAGTCTACGACTGCGCAAGTGCGCGACATGTGTCGCGGACGCACTGACCCAAGATCCTCGCCTCGTACAGCTGTTCCCTGTCATTGACTCGTCATACGCCATACGCCCGTTTCACACCATTTTAAATGGGTTTGATCTGCGGAAGCTTCAAAATCTATTCAATAGTCTTATTGGAGTTTAACAACCGCCAAAATTGAGGAGTGCGAGGCGGCCGAGAAATCTTATTAATGACTTTAAAGATGAAAATTCAAAGATTTTTTGATAATTTTTTATTTAGATCCGTTTTTGCAAAGTAACAATCTTGAGCGAATTCAGTAATACTTTTGTATTAACGAAAATAGTATTGAGAAATTACAATAATGAATAAAAATGGTACCCACATAATTTCATCCTGTCCGCCCATTCCGTTTTACAATTGCGTACACCCCGGCAACCGTACTCGTCGAACTCGGCAAAGAGTTCGATGTGCAACCTAACTGAAGCATCAGCGCGTTGAGCTTCTCAACGGATTTTCTAAGCGGGTCGCGATTCCGATCCGGTAGTAGATTTTTTCGCGAACCAACTACTTTTGAGTTGTTAGGTCTCCCTTGGTGGCGCTCGCGTGGCTGTTAGAAAACCTCGCCCCTTCTGGCTGAGCTCTTGTTCGCCCACCTGTCCTCGTGAAACTGGAAAGGCCTCCGGGCCACCAGTAAACTCTCAATTATAAAAAAAAAATGCGTACAGAAAAAAATAAAATAATTGAACATGTACATACGAAGTGTCACCTTTCCGAAAGGGTAAATGAAAAATGAAAACACGCATTCAGATAGGCATAGTCACCAAATTTTCTTCGTAAAAATTAAAATATAGATTAGAAAGCACTGCACTGCACTTATTAATTCTGTTTTCAATAAAATTATTGAATTTAATTGAAAAACCTAAAAAATTTTGATTTAAATTTTCAATTATTCTTTCAATTACGGAATCCTGCGTTGTATGCGACATTATATACGATGTAAAATATCATTTAAATTAGGTACAAAAAGTCCTAAATTTAATAGTATTCTTTTCTTGGTCACGGGGTATCATAGAACATAAGACTGCGGTCGAGGACAATTATTATTGCTTGGTAGGTCGGTAACCTAAACGAAGGTTTATTCAACCTTCAATCTTCAATTATCTTGTGACTTGTACCAACAAAGTCAAATACTTTTGTGAACCATTTAAAAAATTCAAATTTTACAAAATGTATGTACTTGAGTACCTACTTATAATTCGATTTAAAGAAAATTTTGTTTTATTCAAATAAATATCCTCAGTCGAGGTAAATTAAGTTCAAACTTAATTCAACGGTTGTAGGTAGGTACCTACAACGTCTCTATTAATTTTGGCGCCCTTAGAGAAGTTTTGGTACGTTCCATTATTCAACAAAAATTAATTCTAAAAACGAAGTATGATAAAAAGTATTTTACTAAAAACCTAATTACTTTGTTACATAATATCTAGTAGAATTAAATGGTATCTAATTACGACAATTGAATTAAATTTGAAATGAATATGTAACATGAAAAATATTATTAAAGCAACAATGGACAGTTCCATTTTACGGATTTTCTTCAATGTCAATTTACATCAAAATTTAGTAGATTAAAGAAAATGCGGCGCATTTCATGTTTAATTTTTGCGACATATTTGTGACATAAAACTGAATTATTAGTAAATAATTCGGACTCTGTAGGTTTGAAAATAGTTTCTCATGTCTGGAATGTTAACAAGAGCTCGCGCTTTCTCCACGGAAGCTCTAAAAGTTGTTAACAATGTTGCTAAGCAACAGTTTGCTGTGTCAATAAAAGGAGGTGAGAATTCTTCTTTACTATTTGTATAATTTCCACTACATAAGGATATTAAACCCATAAATATAACAATAAATCCTAGTATCTAGTAAGCTACATTGGGGTTTGGTTGTGATGTGTTTAGGTACTTTAGACTAAACACAACTTCAAAATTATGCATTATTGCACCTAGTGATAAGAGATATTAGCTTATTAGCCATTAGAAGACTTTATAGATGGGCTGAAATTCCGTAACATCAAAGGGAACCACAAGTTTACAAACAAAACATTAAAATTTCATTAAATTATCATATATTTTCCTAATTGCAGAAGATGCTGTGATCAGCTATGAGAAGAAAGGCAAGGGGATAACCTTGATCCATACAAATGTGCCGCAGGCTTTTCAAGGAAAAGGAGTTGGGAAATTATTGGCACAGGTTATTTTCTGAGTATTGAATTTTAGTATCAAGTAACATACACATCAAGTTTTAAATCTTAATTCAAAAAGTAATAAATTAAAATTAATTCAAAATATAACAAATAATTTATCTTTTAGTCAGTGTCAATAAAAATGATGTCAGTTGAAAATATTTTTTTTTACATAAATAAAAATACAATTATTATTTACTTTCTAGTATGCCTTTGATCATGCTTTAGAAAACAGGTTGAATGTGATTTGCAAATGTCACTTTTTAGCCAAATTCTACGAAGACAACATTAATAAATATAAGGTGCTAAATGTAAAACTTGAATTAGAATAATTTAACCATGGATTTGGCTTGGCATAGATGTAATATTCATTATTATTTACGGGAAAAATACTATGGTAATGTTAAGAAAATTTCAAACGAAGCGTTGCAACAAAATCCTAGGAACTCAGAATTTATTTTCTATACTGGAATTGCATTGATATTAGAAGGGCAAGTTCATAAAGGGATTTCTGAACTAACTCCGCTCCAATCAGACAGTGAGATACAATTGGCAGTGATCATTGCTCTAGTTTATGCATACAAAGTTTCTAATTTACCAGAAAAAGAGGTGTTGTTCAATTTAGAATCAAAATTGAAGGAAGAAAAGAAACATGCAAGCATAACTTCATATTACTATTCAGCTTTGTTTTTATCATTAGCAGAAATGAATGAAAAAGCATCTGACTATTTAAATAAAGTATTTAGAAAAGATCCTAATAATTTAGATTCTATAATTCTGAAGGGATGGAATGACCTGGGCTTGAGTCAGGAAAAATCGCCGAAATCCACTATAGAATGTTTAGAAGCAGCTATCAGAAAAAGTGATAACAGTATTGAAGCACTGCTTGGGTTGGCAAAATTGAAATATCTAGCAAAGGACTATGATGCATCAAATTTAACATTAGATAGACTGATTATTAACAACTCAGGGCAAGTAGTACCCCTTGTTGAGAAAATGAAAAACGAATTTGCAATGCAGAAATGGGAAGCGGTTTTCGATACATTAGAAAGAATATTTTCTATAGATCCAGATAATGTTGAGGGCTTGAAAATGAGAATATATCTTGCACTTGGTAAACGATCTGATTATATAGAAGCAGCTGATCAATTGAACCGCTTTTTTGGTATACTCGAAATTGAAGAAAGCCATAATGGACATCAGTTTTACTATACTGCTCAAATCTTTTCTAGAATTTGTGGGAGGTCAAGTGCAGTTTTGTCTCAAGCTTATAGATTTGCCCAGTATGCTTCAGAAATGTATTCAAATAATGTTGACTATCTCAGTGAAGTTGGCTACCAGTGTATCCTTCAGGCAAAATATAAAGACGCACTGAGTTTCTTTAGAGCTGCAAGTAAATTGGACAATAATTCCATCACAGCACTCTGTGGATTGACTCTCTGCCAAATGTTAGAGAATGGTCCGACAGATCAAATAACCCAACAAATTGAATTACTTTTTGAGATGCAAGGAACAGAAAAGCTACCACTTCTATACTTGTTGTCTGCCCAACTAAATATCAAGAACTCATCTAATGCAGTACCATTGTTAAACACAGCCTTTGAAACAAAATTAAATTTAGCCTCTCGCAATCCCATGAGTTTAATTTACATTAAGGACTTAGACCCAGATTTTGTTTTAGAAATTTACAAAGAGTACAAAAAGCATTTACCAAAGAAGCCATTTGTTATCATTGGGTATCTGCTTTATTCTCAAGAAGGAAACATCCCTGTTGTAATCCAGTGTTTTAAAATCTTAAATGCTGTTTGTGAAGCTTGCTCAGGTTTGATACCAGGCTTATTTGAATTGGCTAAATTGAAATTTCTTTTCGGATATGCTATTGAAGCTGAAAAAATTGCTCAACAAATCGCTGAGTTGGACAATACACATGCTGGTAGTCAGATTTTACTATCACAAATTTATATACAACAGCAAGAATATGTTAAAGCTGAACAATGCTTAGAAATTTGTCTGAGTTACAATTTCAAAGTTAGAGATAGCGCAATGTACCATTTTATAAATGCAATAGTTTTAAAAAGCAAAGACAAATTACAAGATGCTTTGTCAAGCTTCTTGACAAGTCTTCAGATAGCAACTAGTAAAAGCAACATGAGCAGAACATTCGATTCAGACTTGAACATTATTGATAAAGCTACTTTGTATCTACAAATCATTGAGATACACACAGCTTTAGGGCAAATTGGGGAAGCGGGCAAAGCCATGCAGGTCAGAAAAAATATTTAGCATTATTATTTTTATTGGAACAGTAATTTTTTTTATGATTAAGTTACATTTTTATTTGATTTATTTTGTAGGAAGCAATTCAAGAATTTTCATATACATCAGAAGAAACTCGGCTGTTAATATCACGTGCTGACTTGGCTCTGAATCAAGGGGATATTGACAGTGCAATTGACATCTTAAATGAGATAAAGCCCGGACAGCCATATTATTTTCAAGCCCACAGCAAACTGGCACATATTTACTTGAAAAATAAGAAAGACAGAGCCATGTTTACGACATGTTTTAAAGAGATTGTCAGTAATCATCCAATGACCGATGCCCATACAATGATGGGAGATGCTTTTATGTCGATTCAAGGTCAGTCAATTTTTATCCAATTTCAAGTTTAATGACATTTCATACTTCGTTTTTGCCTCAGATAATGTCAGTGTTCATGGTTAGAATTCACCATTCACTAGCAAATTAATATTGTGCTATTTAGTTCCTATTCCACAAAATCGATTTTATTACTGTCTTTATTAATAGAAAGAGTGAGCTAAAAAAAATTAGCAAAGTTCGAGTAAATAATTTGTAGATATGTATTTGAACCAAACGCTTGAACTATTGTAAAATGGCTGCCCCACCCTTCAAACCGAAACGCATTACTGCTTCACGGCAGAAATAGGCGGGGTGGTGGTACCTACCCGTGCGGAATCACAAGAGGTCCTACCACCAGTAATTACGCAAATTATAATTATGCGGGTTTGATTTTTATTACACGTAATTTGTAAATTTGTAGATCCAGCACAAGCGGTGGAGTCATACGAGACCGCCCTGAGAGGCAACCTCGGGGACCTACAGCTCACTAAAAAACTCGGCGCAGCTTTGTTCAAGATGCACGAATACGACAAGGCCGTGCAGCACTATGAGAACGCGATGAAAACCTTCAACGACGACGAACTTAAATTTGAATATCTCGATCTACTCATCAGAGTGAGTGCCTTGAACGTGACGATAAATACTCACCCTTCTTAGCCGAGCCTTTGTTCCCTCACCTGTCCTACTAAAACTGGAAAAGTCTCCGGCCCACCTTTTTTTTTTTAAATTATTTATTTATTTAATTTACTTCAGATTTTGCAACCATGTATAATTCATTAAAGTTTCATATAGTATACCAGAATTATATAAAAACAATAACTACAGTCTCGGAATAAAACAAAAGCAATAATAATAATAATAAAACAAAAATTCAAAATTAACATCAAAACTAACTTAACCTAAAGGCTGGTTAAAAAAAAAACACACCTACTATATTTAAATTTAAAAAGTCATTGTCATAAGCCATTAAAGTTGATGAATTATTTTTTAGTTAAAACAATACGATAAAGCGGACACGACTATATCTTCGGAACTGAATCAGATGTACAATAAAGAGAAAGATATCGGCACACTGAGGCGGCGTGTCCGATTGCTACTTAAGCAGGCGAAATGTAGAGAACTGAAAACTCCGACTCCGGGAAACGTCAATTTAATATTAGCCGAAGCAAAAGAATTGCAGTTATCGATCGTCAAAAGACTAGAGATAGACTCGAAGGCGGATCTGCAGGAGGAGAGGAGGCAGCTTTCGAACATATTGTGCGCTTTGGCAAAGTTCAAAAGCATGAGGGAGCCGGCTGTCGCGGCTAATTTGTATTCTGAGGCCCTAATTCATACTCCCCGCGAGCCGAGCACGCTGCTGGCCCTAGCTAAGCTGTACGCGCAGGTAAGTACACGACTATACAGAGCCATAGATATTCTTACTGGTGGTAGGACCTCATGTGAGTTCGCACGGGTAGGTACCACCACCCAGCCTATTTCTGCCGTGAAGCAGTATGCGTTTAGGCTTGAAGGGTGGGGCAGCCGTTGTAACTATACTGAGACCTTAGAACTTATATCTCAAGGTGGGCGGCGCATTTGCGTTGTCAATGTCTATGGGCTCCAGTAACCACTTAACACCAGATAGGCTCGTCCACTCTTCTAAGCAATAAAAAAAAAGTTGGTTTGAAGTGCGTTTTCATAACCTCTTTTTTGTTTTACTTAAAGATGAATAATCCAGAAAAGTGCGAGCAAACTTGTGCAGTTTTATTGAACGCAGATCCGAATAATGAATCTGCGGCAGTCATGATGGCAGACCTGGCGTTTCGTAAGGTACTATTTGGTTGTTGTTTACTAGATTTATATTATTATTATCGACCAGCAGTGAGGAAGTTAAAAATGAAAGAAATTACACAGAAGCAGAACACAAAATATTTTAGTAAATTAACCAAAACTTATAATAAAATGATATCAATCTACTGTCAACGAAAGCTGTTAAAATTACACAACAAGTCTAAACAGAAACCGCCACGCATGAACGTCACGCGCAAAAGAGAGCGAAGGCTTTTAATCTATTGCATAGCTTTTATCGCGGGCCTTGAGCGCGGCGACCGAATCATGAAATTCAGTAACGAAAAAAACCTGACAACCCTCACTCCGTCTACCATGTAGCTCGCGTTACACACATTCACACGTTGCACTTGTGTAGTGTTTGTGAATAAACGCGTGGCGTGACGTCACGCGTTGCATCGCATGCGCATCATGAAAAGTCTGCCCATCTCTCTCGCGCGGTCTAGCTTATGAGTGTGAAGGGGACAGATAAGGTCTTGCTTTTATTAATGTTTAATATAGCGTGGTCTTGCTTTATTATTGTTTTAATATTAAATTATCATTGTCTAATTATAATTGCATAAGTTGATAAAAAATGCTATGCAATAGCTTTACCGCGGCAGTTCCCGAGTGCCACACGTTTTTTTTTCTATGCTGATAGCCTGTAGAGGCTATATCAGCGTTACCCTAGCGCAGCGGTCGGGGAACTTACCCCAAAATATTTTGTGTAAGTTGATATTACCCCATGGCGAAGAACAAAAAAAAACGAAATCGCTTCTTTTTAGTATCTTTCATATTATAGCCCCCCTGATAATTTTGAAAAGAAAACTAACTAAAATTTTAACGATTCTAAAGAAGTTTCACTTCAATATATACTTTACAAAAGTTTCATTTTTACCCCCCAAAATTTAATTTTACCCCATTTGGGGTAATTTACCCCGGTTCCCCGACCGCTGCCCTAGCGTATAGATGAGCTCACGGAGCTCAAACCAGAGGTGTTGCTAACACTGGCCCTAGCAAGAGCAGTGCTTTGCAGAATCTACCACCGGATCGGAAACGCGACTCACTGAGAAGATCCGGCGAGAAACTCAGTGGGCCAGCGAAGGCGCGTTTTTATAGTGTAGCGCTGGTTTCCGGTCGCGGGGTAGCATAGACTGTAAAAGTCTATATATTTGTCTTCGTTAAAGTAAATATAAATTACTTGAAGACAACAATAACGCGCCAATTTCGAAAACTTTTACCCATAGGTGGATCTAGAAACAGCCCAACGGCATCTGAACCAGATCTTATCGGTGAAGCCGACGAGCTGGGAGGCTCTCGCGCAGCTTGTCGAGGTGCAGTGGAGACGCGGGAAACTCAGCGAAGCCGAACAGGCCTTGGAACTCGCCAAGCAACACCTCGACGATCCGGACGACCCGGGTATGCCATCCGTGCAAACTGGCGGTAACACTTGTACTGTGTACTTGAGACTTTACAACTTATATCTCAAGGTAGGTGGCGGCATTTACGTCGTAGATGTCTATGGGTTCCAGTATCAATTTAACACCAGGTGGGCTGTGAGCTTGTCCCCACCCAAATAAGCAATAAATAAAAAAAATCCTTAAATTTTGCTGGGAAGTTAATTCAGTTCATCCCATGTTTGATAAATCTTTCATAAATTTTGCGATGGCAATATTGGCGTCACAAAAAGCCAATAGTTATATTGAAAAAAAGAAGAGAGCGCTCTCTGTAGCTCATTATAAATTCTCGTGTGTTGATGGGTAGGCTACAAGTACTGCGCGGGCGTGTGCGCGGCGTACGGCGGCAAGTGCAACGCGGCGCTGCGGGCGCTGAACGCGGCGCGCGGGGGGGCGCGGTGGGGGGCCGCGGCCGCCGCGCGCATGGTGCTGCTGTGCCTGTCGCAGCACGCGCCGCTGCCGCCGCCGGATAACCTCACCGCCTCCGCTGATGACGCGTAACTAACTACCCACCTATTTAACTACCTACTTCTGATTTTTAATTTAAGGAGTCTTTTAGATTTAGTTTAGTTTTTTGGTTTTAGTTTAGTTTTTTAGTTTTAGTTTTGGTTTTAATTTTGTTTTAGTTTTGACCATTGAGTTTTGCCTTTAATCTTTTAAAAATAGGCGGAAAGTTTGACCACCCTTAAGGTGTAATACAAAAACGGTTAACAAGATACATTTCGCTGCCTAAAACTATCGTGAAATCAACGCGCTCAATCCAAACTCTAATTAGAAAAATACAGTTGCAAACCGGTGTTTAATTGATTTAGCGTCTTAGTCAGTGCCTTTGTTAAAGATATTTATTTTGCTGTTTAAGTTCCGAGCATAATATTCTTCATCTCGAACGTGTTGCTCGCTCTCATAACACATATAGAAACCCTGGCTTGGGGATGTTGTGTAACGTATGCATGTACGTTATTAAAAGAAGTGTTCGCCCAGTGATTGAAATTGGACCACAACCTTTGACACTTTAAGATTCAAATTTATGTAGGAACGGAACAGAGCGATGTGGATGAATGACAGATATGGAGCATGACTGAGTGAGAGTGATAGGAGATGTCGTGTTAGGAAGTAAAAAGGGCGGCGAATGAATGCGAGACACCGAGTTTTATTTCATAAGCAACAGGGGAACAGTTTGGAACCTCTGGGTCTGCGGAGGGACTTCGGTTCCCTCTGTATTTTGTACCCTATGTTCCATGGGGAGTGCTCTGAGGAATTGTTCGAGATGATACCGTCATCTCGTTTTTACCATCGCACCGCCCGCCACCGGAGTAGAGTTCATCCATACTACCTGGAGCCACTGCGGTCATCCACAGTGCGTTTCCAGAGATCTTTTTTGCCACGTACCATCCGGCTATGGAATGAGCTCCCCTCCACGGTGTTTCCCGAGCGCTATGACATGTGCTTCTTCAAACGAGGCTTGTGGAGAGTATTAAGTGGTAGGCAGCGGCTTGGCTCTGCCCCTGGCATTGCTGAAGTTCATGGGCGACGGTAACCACTCACCATCAGGTGGGACGTATGCTCGTCTGCATACAAAAAAAAAGGGAGTAGTTTCCGGATGCGACGACGCTTAGACGCAGTGTAACCCGGAAGACGAAAGACGTATTGGAGTAACTTAAAATGAAATAAAGCATCGAGTGTGAAGTGTTCGAGCGTTTCACTGGCCCACCCCGAATTTAAAATCTCACATTCATTTCATTCGTTTTTTTTATTGTTGACACCAAAATATATTGATAACTACAATAATAATAGTTAAAAAAAAAAATTACAAACAATGGGTTGTCAAAAAAATCAGAAATATATATACATGATTCTCTGATTTGTTTCAGTGATACGCGTCTACTAGCTTTACGGACCGCCGAAAAGCTTCTCGTCGAAGTGAATCCAGCTGAACGGAAACCTCTGCAGGCGCTCCTCCAGCTGGCGACCAAGAACAAGGGCCAGGCGGAGCGGGTGCTGCAAGACTTGCTACCCCTGGTCACCGAGGACGGCTACCAGGACGACCCTTACGTCGTGCTGGCCATCGCTAATGCGTGAGTTTCTCTTTCTAATCCTAGAATCAACCTAGGGATCTTATGAGCACCTCTCCGCCAGCTATTGAGACACACTGTGGACGAGCTCACAGCCCACCCGGTGTTAAGTGGTTACTGGAGCCCATGGACATCTACAACGTAAATAAGCCACACCCACCTTGTGATATAAGTTCTAAGGTCTCAAGTATAGTTACAACGGCTGCCCCACCCTTCAAACCGAAACGCATTACTGCTTCACGGCAGAAACAGGCGGAGTGATGGTACCTACCCGTGCGAACTCGCAAGAGGTCCTACTACCAGTAATTACGCAAATAAATGGAGTAAATGTAAATCTATTTATTGCCTTAAGTTACTTGCGAACTCTTCTCAGTGGTGAAACTGCATTCCGAATCGTTGCTAAAGTTATTGCGCCTTAATTTTTATTTATTTATCGAATGCTGTTTTTTTTATTGCTTTAATGAGTGAACGACCTCACGGCCCAGTTTAGTGGCCACTATTACATGAGGATGATTAGAACATGAGTGTTGTCATCCGCCTTGACTTCAAAGTGTCAGTTGTATTGTATTACAACTGTTCAAACATTTCAAACTGGAATGCGTGCTTGATTTGCACTAGGCAGTAGATGAGCAATAGATGGGCAACAGATGATGGCGCTGGCAGGTACCCGGCAACGACTGGTGTTAGGACGCGAAGTTTTGACGTTTTCGTTCTAGTAGATAATAATTGATAATTTATTTTTAGATACAATATAACAAAACAGCCGACGCGCGCGAAGAACATCCTCAAAAGAACTATTTCGTCCATCGTGTGGTCGCCGGAGAAGGCCGATGGACTCGAAAGGTAATGTGATATGTATTACAGTATGTCTCACCAGTACATTTCAATTAGCAAAAATGGATTAGTCAAAAGTATTTTGATGTAACCTTATAATAAAAAAGCTACAACAATATAAATTATAGTATGACATGCGTCCTGTCGTACGATACGATTACATTAATATTTTTTTGTGTCAAGAACTATCATTATAGATACTGGCGACGCAGTTTCGCCTGTGTGTTTAAGTTCATAGCTAGAGATGGGACCTTGATTAACATAAGAGCTCTTACAGACCGATAATATCGTTGTAGATGCTGGCTGGAAGTGGCTGAGGGACAGATAAGTTCCGGAAGGACGGACGCTGCCAAAGAACTGCTCACGAAAATCTTAAACCACAACAACTCTTGTGCTAGAGCCTACCAATATCTAGGTAATGTTTTTTTATCTCTGTCTAACTCTGATACTGTTTCATTCGGTACGATTTAACTCGTGTTTCGTTTTCCATATTTTCCCAACAATTTTACTAGCTTGTATCTAACGGAATTTTTTCAATGTAATCTGTGAATAACTTGAAGACGTCTATTTAACTCGAACCTGTTTGCTCATTGCGAGTCTTTTAACATTCTCGATAGCATAAAAGTTTACTAAAATTTGTATGGAGTTGGAACGTTTACCTACGTTTGCCGCTAAGGGCGCTCTTCCAACTGCATACAAATTTGAGTTAATTTTTTCGCTATCGAGAATGTTAAACAACTCGCACTATGAAGCACACTGTACACGTATCAATAATGACCGATCGACAATACTAATAATTTATTAGTTTGGTCAAAATCTCGACCAGAATAAAGTCCTTCTTTTTGTAATAGGCCGCGCTACAAGATCGCTCGTGTTTGAATTACGGCTCTGCCTGTTTGTACATTAAAGTAACCCATGTCTTCGTGCTTGATCAACGATATTAGATTTATTAAAGCTTCAACCTTCACTCTTCACCTGATGTTAAGTGGTTACCGGAGCCCATAGACATTTACAAAGTAAATGCAGCCACCCACCTTGAGATATGATTTCTAAGGTCTCAGTATAGTTACAACGGCTGCCCCACCCCTCAAGCCGAAACGCATTACTGCTTCACGGCAGAAACAGGCAGGGCGGTGATACCTTCCCGGGCGGACTCACAAGAGGTCCTACCACACAGTAATTACGCAAATTATAATTTTACGGGTTTGATTTTTATTACACGATGTTATTCCTTCGCTGTGGTAGTCAATCGTGAACGTTTGTCGCGTTATTATTTCAGGTCAAATAGCGGAGAAGGAGCAGAATTACAAGAGCGCGGCGCACAACTACGACAACGCGTGGAGCCACGCCGGCCGCGGCGACCTGTCCGTCGGCTACAAGCTGGCGCATTGTTATTTGAAACTCAAGAAGTACCCGGAATGTATAATCGTATCGCGATACATACTGAAGGTGCATCCCGACTATCCGAAGATCAAGAAGGAGATTTTAGAGAAAGCTAAAGCGAATTTGAGGACGTGAATTAAACGAAATGTAGAAATGTAACAATATTTTGTACATTTTTAAAGTGAAACTTCTTTAGAATCGTTGGGTGTGATTTCAAACTCGATGAAACGAAAAAATGAAACGTGAAGTTTTAAATATCAATTCACAGAGGGCGCTACCTCATACTATACAAGATAATTTACTTTTTTTATTTTATTTATTGCATAGATGGGTGGACGAGCTCATAACCCACCTGGTGTTAAGTGGTTAACGGCGCCCATAGACATCTACAACGTAAATGCCGCCACCCACCTTGAGAAATGAGTTCTAAGGTTTCAGTATAGTTATAAATTTAGTGCCTTCGATGATGCGGAACGTGTTTAGTAATTTTTATTCTTGTGTCGAGGACGCGTGAATTTACTAGTAATAGCTTTTTTGTACAAAATTTCATGGCGGGAAATGCACTTTTCTCTTTTGAGGGTAGACACGTCCGATAGCTGCGTTTGAGGTGATCAAGGTACCGCAGTGCGCGTTGCTGCTGTCCAGGTACTACTACCCCCTGTCCATCTAAGTAACAAATTTAAGTTGCTTTGCCCAGCAGAGCAGTGAGATCGGATATTTGAAGACTGCTTTAACTGAACTTCATCATCATTTTGAATCGAAAAGCCCTTATAATAAATGAGGCCGTCAGCGCAAAAGTGCCCTAAGTTTACCATAGTTAGTATGGAGGCAGTTAGGTTTGAATTTTCATGAATTCGAATTTGAGTAGGCCAAAAAACAATACGCGCAAAATTAATGTTTACAAAGCTATCTGTTATCTCTTAGTGAAACTACGGATAGGCCGGTTTTGCATCAAAATTTATTGTATTTTAAATAAATTCCAATATACGTCATATAAGCTAAAATATAAAAAAATGTGGGTTAGGCCATTTTTGCGCTAATGGCCTCAAATGACTTACAATATCAATTTAACGATTATCTGCTAGCGAAACTCGGCAGCTACCTTGGGACGACGTCTGATGATGTTCCATTCGGAGTCCAGGATTGCTTCGCTGCAGACGTACAATGTCTAGTGCGTTTCAAATAAGAATGTGCATGTCAATGACCTTGAGCTGTCTAAAGATCGATAAAAAAATATGGACAGCAACAAAAAAAATGTATCTTCTTTTTTCTAGTAATTTTTTTGCATAATCATGAAGACTATTAATATGTTTGTTTTAATGAACCATACACATCTATAATATAATTTCCTTGTAATGTTGAGTACTGGTCGTGGTAAATTAAACATGGATTTAGATTATGTATATTTTAAAAAAATCCCACCTATTTAAAAATTGCAACACTGTCGGGCCCTATAATCTGTGGATGGGCTACGATGATGATGATAACTCAAGCAGTGCTATGAGTGGAATCGGAAAACTCGAATATTTGGATTATAAATAAATGTTTAAAAATATGTACCTTTTTTACTGACTTTACCTATTTTTTCCGGTTTGACAGCTATGACGTCACAATATGGCGCAAGTCCATGCGCATTCTTAATTGAAACGCATCATGTCACGTATTTGTATTAAAAATATATGCGTTGTTGAGAATCTATACAGTAGACATGCAGATGCGGAGTACGTGAACATGAAAATGCATTCCTTTATTTTAAATTTGTACAAACACGAAAATTGTGTGTTGAAATTTATTACACCTTATTAATAAATTGTTACAGTGCGTAGCCATAGTTTTGACCACCGATCTTTTATTGGAAAAATAATGTCAATTATCATTCATGTTTTATCTGTAAATAATTATGTTCTAATAAAGAAATATGAAATAAAACATTCATAAATATATATTTTATTCACGAATTGTGTGACCTTTTACAAAACTACGTCCTTGTGGAACAATCAAACAATACTGTTTTGATACTAAACTACGTAAGTATATTTTTTATCATGTTACATAATATATGTAATATATTTAATCATCTTTATTTTCCTCTTGTTCGAGGATCGTCTTGAAACAGAATGGCTGGAAGATGTAGCCCAGACCGGCGTAGAATTTGCTCATGAATTCAACCCTGAAACAATTTATACAAAGTTTAATACAGTTTTCAATAACGATTAGTGAACGCATATTAATTAAAATGGTAAAATCGAGAGATAAATATAATAAAAAATAAATGTCATGAAACCGTGATGCATCAAATACTTCTTGTTGCAGAACTCTCAAGTATGAATGCAAATTGTTTATTTATTAAATAGCGATGTCACATGAGCAAACGATTTAAACGCAAAAATGAATAACGAATCGGATCTCCGATCTTTTAAAATTGGCGAGTAAGTTACAAAACGCGGAACATAGTTATAGGTGACGTCATTTGGGGTCAAAATGAAGAACAAAGTAACCATGAATTGTGCATATAAAACGATTAGCCACATATGCTACTATATGTATGTGTGCAAGAAATATTTGTTGTTTAAATGCTGAACAGATGTGACTTATTAATATTTGATAAAAACAAACTGATTTAATTAGTTAAATATCTTTGAAGAGCGGTCATTAGTTGCATTCTATCCTCATATCTCTGTTGTCTCAGTACTGACCAGTGCAAACGCAGAGTATGCAAGAATGCGGAGAGTCCCTCCATCATGACGAGGATGGCGAGCGTGAACAGCGCCCAGAAACAGAACGCCACGTACAGCTTGATGGCGCCCACGTAGTTATGGTCCTTCAAGCCGAACGTCAGCACCATGTTCCATAGTACTTCGGACAACTCTGCCAATAACAATTATAATATTGAACCCATTTTTTTAAATAAATATTGAAGAGAGAAAGAGAGAGAACATACTTTATTGCACACTAAAACACAATTAATATCAGAAAACAGTTGAAATTATTTTTTTATTAGGTGTGAGGGATCATACTCGTACAAAAAAACTTCATAGACTGATTTATGGGTCTATTGGGTAAATTTATAAATTACATGCATTTGTATGTATGTAATTTGAGTCCATACTAATAACCAAACAAAGTATTTTTTTACTATGCATATAAAAATAAATGTTTTAGTTTGAACGGTCACAATCGTTCTTATAACTTCGACGACATCATTGAAGATGATGACGTCATTCACGAAAAAATAAAATCCACTGACCAGCGTGGGCGAGCGACAAGGCCCAGAGTCGGAGGTAGGAGGCTGTGTGAGAGATGGTGCTGAGTACGTATTCGATGGTGTGGATGGCCTGGTGGATCATGATCTCGCTGAAGGGCTCGTCCTCGTGGTCGTGCCCGCCGCTGGACTTAGCTTCGGGCTTGGGCTGCACGTCGCCGAGGTCGGTCTGCTCCTGCAGCTCGATGCCTTGGTTGACGCTGCCGTTGGAATGTTCGGGCTGTAACAATTTTTGTTTGCTCTTATATTGTTACGCCAATTAAAAAAAAATGAAACTTTCCCAGTTGTAGACAGACGGGCATACGGCCAACCTGATGACTGAGTGGTTACCGTCGCCCATGGACGTCCGCAATGCCAGGGGCAGAGCCAAGCCGCTCCTACCGTTAAGTACTCTTCACAAGCCTCGTTTGAAGAAGGAGATGTCATAGGGCTTGGGAAACACCGTGAAGGGGAGCTCGTTCCAAAGCCGGATGGTAAGTGGCAAAAACGATCGCGCGAAACGCCCTGTGGATGAACGCAGTGGCTCCCAAGTAGTATGGATGAACACTACTCCGGTTGCGGGCGGTGTGATGGTAAAATCATTTCCTTTTTTTTTTTCCTACCTAAGCTGAGAGTTTTGAGAGGCTATATCAACGTAACATTAACTATTAGGTGAGCTCACGGGGCTCAAACCTGACGACGTTGCTAACACGAACCCTAGCAAGAGCCGTGATTCGCAGAATCTACCACCGGATCGGAAACGCGACCCACTGAGAAGATCCGGCGAGAAACTCAGTGGTCTGTATCTGAGGGGCAATTTCCAAGAATCATTCCATTTCATTTTTCCAAGAAAATTTTCAACAGTAGACTGATTGTCGTCGAACATCGAGAATCGGACCAACACCAGTAGTTACCGGTATAGTTAATTGCACCTGTACCTTGGGGTTGTTCTTCTTAGTGGCGAGCAGGTACAGCGGCTTCCCGAGCAGCATGACGGGGATGCAGAGCAGCGCGATGAACACGAACACGCGCTGGATGTCGCTCTGAGCGTCGAACATGAACTCCTTGCAGCCCTCCTCCGGGACGTTCTTCGAGAACAGCATCATGTTGATGAACAGGATCAGCACCGACGGAGCGCAGCCTTGGGTGTACGCCAGCTCTGGGAAAGTAGAAATAGGACTATTTAGTTTTATTGTCATTTATAGGCATCCGAGATTAAGGGGACATTGATTCAGGAATGGCATTAAAATTAATCTATACTAAAATATATAAATTTACAGGGGTTTTTACGGATGTTCCGTTATAACTACTGAACCATGTATCCGATTGACTTGAAACTTGGTATCCATGTAGAAAATACATGTAGGTACTTACTTAATGGATAGGCTAATATTTATATGAGTGTTGGACTCCCTACACCAGTTGCGGGGGCGTTAATGATGAGAATCGTTGTGGGGGCGCTAACGATTAAAAACGCTAAATTTAAAACTTCAGCTTTTATCAACTTATTATGATCATGTAAATTAACTACTATTATTATTAATTTTAATAAATATTTATATATATATTTCTCTGTGCGTGTGTTTGACACTAAACTCCTCCTAAACGGCTGGACTGATTTCAATGATTTTTTTAGTATGCGTTTGGATGGCACTCTGGATGGTATAGATTCACAAATCAGCCCGGCAGTTTTTTTTTTTTGCTTAGATGGGTGGACGAGCTCACAGCCCACCTGTTGTTAAGTGGTTACTGGAGCCCATAGACATCTACAACGTAAATGCGCCACCCACCTTGAGATATAAGTTCTAAGATCTCAGTATAGATACAACGGCTGCTCCACCCTTCAAACCGAAACGCATTACTGCTTCACGGCAGAAATAGGCGGGGCGGTGGTAGATACCTACCCGCGCAGACTCACAAGAGGTCCTACCACCAGTAATAAATATTATTTATATTTATCTTTTATTATATTAATTATATTTATCTTTTATAGAAATAATTTATATGGCAAAACAACGTTTGCCGGGCCAGCTAGTGTTAAATAAATCTTTTATGAATGCTCCCACAGTTCCCTGCTGCGATAAAGACATGAGAGGTCAATTTTAAAAACAACCAATCCTTCGTCTTTGTGTTTCTATGGGTATCGTAAATTATTGCCGGAGTCATGTGCATGTAGTGCATTGACATCACAGCGTCACTGGCGCCACCTACCTTGAGACAAGAAGCCGATCTCAATAGTATAAAGTGCCCTCGTCAACAATTACTTCGAAATACTAATTTTTATATAGTTTCAATAACTAACCATCATTCTTAGTGCTGTACGCGATCCATTTGAAGAACATCATGAACACCATGTACAAGAACAGTAGCGCCAGAAAGACGATCTGAGGGAGGAACTCGAGGAAGATGGAGTAGCGACGCTTGAAGAAACTGGAAAATTTAATTATAATGTAGCAAGACTTTTTTTCTACCTACTGCTAGTAACCTCTAGGGGTTATGTTAGCTTAATTTTAAGCTCACGGGTTTCTAACTGAGAATTTCTTAATACTAACGCAAGATAGAGATAGCACTATGACGAGATTTGACGTCATAACTTTGATGTGCGTTAAATTACAACTAGTACGAGAACGGAAACAAATTATCTATAATCAACTCTCTTCAATTATTTTCAATTCATTGTAATTTCTTAGCCAAGCTGATAAGCAGAATCGCCTTAAGATATCAAGTCAATAAGTCGTAATAGTTGAGTTATAATAACAGCTATCGGCTTTTCCACGAGAACGCTTGACTCTTTCGCAGTAGAATCATTCTAGACTTTAGTACCGTTTCGTATGGATTAACCATAATAGCACCTACGGTATCAAATATTCAGGATACGAATAAAGTAGAATATAAATAGATAGTGGAATAAGTAAAGCGCTTAGTGCACACGTATCCACTCCTGGTCTAATTGATTTCCGCAGTAAACTTGAAGTCGTAATAATAATTAATAACTCACTTGTAGTTGACCACGCTCATGCAGACACCGAATATCATGTGGATTACACCGAATATGATAGACAGCTTCATTTTGTACGAGTTGAGGAAGATAATCTTGTTGTCAGCGCTCTGTAAATGAAGAATAAGTTATAAGGGTATATTGTCTGGACAATTCGCCAAGTTCCAGTGGTAACACTCAAAAGTGGACTAGATAGAGGGTAGACAGATTTATCTGATATTAACATCCTACCCGCAGCCTTCAATATACCTGTGACCGCGGCGCTGGCAACACTGCTGCAACTGGTCATAATATCGGAAACTTATTAAAGGTAAAAATCATAAACCCGCTTAATATTGATTACGGTATTGAAGATTTTTTTGTTTTTAAATACATCATCATTCTTCTGCCCTTCTCCCAGTCACCTGGAGTCGGCGCAACATGTTACGTTATATCATGTATGTAACCTTAACTAGTAGGTAAGCTCACGGGGCTCAAACCTGACGACGTTGCTAACACGAACCCTAGCAAGGGCCGTGCTTCGCAGAATCTACCACCGGATCAGAAACGCGACCCACTGAGAAGATCCGGCGAGAAACTAAGTGGGCTGTGTCTTAGGGTTAATTTACTCGTCGAGTCCTTCGTCGCAAGCGACGGGTTCGACGAGGACGATGACCGGATCATATACCATTTCTTCGTTCACTCCCCTCTTACACATATCGTCTTTCACGCTATCCATCCATTTCTTGTTAGGTCTACCTCTTTCTCTTCCTTTTTTAAATACATCTACTATCTTATTTCTGAAAATAAGTTCATCAGAGTAGAAAAGTTCACTGCTGGACAAAAGCCCCTTCGACTTCATGTCGAGAGGTGAAAGGCGATTTGGTTTCAGCGACATTTTTTTAACTTTACAGGAGAGCCCTTTAGAGTAAAAAATTTAGAAAAAAAATTCATCACAAATAAATCTTCTTCAGCTATTTGATTGGAGTAAACTTAATTGAAGTCCGATTAAAAACATCATACTGTTGATGCTAATACGAAATAAAAGGCATTTTTAATTACATATAAATCGACCTTAAGCTGCCAATACCTGCCAATTCACATTTTTACTGCAATCGTTTATTTTTTGTGCCAACTTTATATCTTAATGTTAGAAGTGGCTACTTTTAGTTTTAATTATTTTCGTTTTTATGATCTCCTGTAAACTTGCCATCAAAGCACTTAGGAGGTATTGGCAGGTTACGATCGAAATGTCGCGTCTTCAGCGAATTTTATTTTATTGCTTAGATGGGTGGACTAGCTCACAGCCCACCTGGTGTTAAGTGGTTACTGGAGACCATAGACATCTACAACGTAAATTATGTCGAATTTCGCTTAAGCCAAATAGCCTGTCAACCCTCAATATACAGGGTATTGTTTAAGCTGGCCTAAAGATCTAGATACAAGGCCATAAACTAAAAAAAAAAAAGTATTGTTTAAGTAAATCAGCTCACCTGCCAAATAGGGTCGATACCGATGAAGTATGGCACTTCGGTGTAGGCGTCTTTAGGGTCGAGCGTCAAGGCGCCGTTCTCAGCGAGCGTGTGGTTGTCGTACGGGATGTGCCAAGAGGAGCCAAATATGTTCAGAGACTTGGAGAAGATATCGTTGTACACGAGGCCGGTGTACATAGAGAAGCAGCCCATGAGCAGGATTATGTAGCGGCCCGCGAAGAATATATTCCAGATTTCGTTGTTCGATTTCTTGGCGGCGAGCGAGACTTCCTTCACGACCATCCAGCCGCCGAACATCGCCATGATGCAGCCGTGACCAAGGTCGCCGAACATCACAGCGAACAAGAACGGGAACGTTATGATCGTGTACAAAGCTGAGGAGCGATAACGAATATTTGTCATTGAATCGTAAGTCAGGTTTCGGTGTGCCGGAATAGTATATTACGCACCGAGGGAGAAAAGTAGGACATTCAAACCCGCGAATTGGGTTTGTGAAAAAAAATTCGCAATAATTCAAAAGTTATTTCAAAATAAAAATTTATTTTTTTGAATCCAGTACCGAAGACACGCTGACAGCTCCCGAACAAACCCGAGCGCGTGTGACGTCATAATGTTAGTTTTCCCTCATTGCTATATTATCAGACTTTGCCTTAATAAATCCTTTATCACACATAGCTTTTTTTTTTTTTTTTTTTTTATTGCCCTTGTAGGCAGACGAGCATACGGCCCACCTGATGGTGAGTGGTTACCGTTGCCCATGGACTTCAGCAATGCCAGGGGCAGAGCCAAGCCGCTGCCTACCGCTTAATACTCTCCACAAGCCTCGTTTGAAGAAGGACATGTCATAGCGCTCGGGAAACACCGTGGAGGGGAGCTCATTCCNTTGTAGACGGTGACTGTTCTGATACCATGACCATTAACGCTGGCGTTCCACAAGGTTCGGTGCTCTCCCCCACGCTTTTCATCCTGTATATCAATGACATGCTGTCTATTGATAGCATGCATTGCTATGCGGATGACAGCACGGGGGATGCGCGATATATCGGCCATCAGAGTCTCTCTCGAAGCGTGGTGCAAGAGAGAAGATCAAAACTTGTGTCTGAAGTGGAGAACTCTCTGGGGCGAGTCTCCAAATGGGGTGAATTGAACTTGGTTCAATTCAACCCGTTAAAGACACAAGTTTGCGCGTTCACTGCGAAGAAGGACATAGCTAATCATAACCAACTAACAACTCGTTTTTTAGCAATAAATTTTCAATACTATTGTCTAGTCACGTGTATTAGCCGTAAACGCAGTACTGTTATTAAATAGCTATAACATTATGACGTCACAACTATGGTGACCAATCATGGCGCGTTTATACTCACATGTTTTTTTTTAAATTCTATAAATTTTTTATTCTTTATAATGAATTGATTTTTTTTTTTAGTTTTTTGCATTAAATAGTCTTATTATTAATAATAAAGTTTTAAAATGCATAAAAAACATTTTTTTTTTTTTTTCAAAATTCCAAATGTTTTGTCACAATCGCGGGTGACAATGTTTTACTTTTCTCCCTAGATGATTATACAATTTTTTTCCCGCCGGGATGAAAAGTTCGCTTTTAGTCCGATTATCCGATTCTCACCGGGAGAGAATGGAGTACTTTTATCCCGCGTGCCAGGGACTAAAAGCGAACTTTTCGTCCCGGCGGGAAAAAAATACATATATCGCACCTTTAGAATTTAAATGGCTTAATCTAAACGCCACAAATGTAATTGAAGAATTATAATTTTTCAGTTTTGATTTTAATACTCTTTATAAGTCTTAAAGCGCATACAAAAAGTTTAAGGTAAGGGTTGGGTAGTTACCTAATATAAACATATACATTCGATTATAGAGTAAATAGGGAGCGTTGATCCGAACATACCCGGGTTACATTCGCGGTAAGAGGCGACTCCGTAAGCATCGATGAGGTTCTGGAAGCCGCGCGTGAACTTGTTGGTCCTGTTGAAGGTGGGCGGCTCCTCGTCAGTCTCGATGCAGTTCAGGAACGACGGGATCGAACTGCCGCATGCGTTCTGCGAACACGACCCACTCATAAGTGAGGTAAGTTTGAAGTCGTCGTGGCCTAAAGGATAAGACGTCCGGTGCATTCGTACGTAGCGATGCACCGATGTTCGAATCTCGCTGGTAGGTACCAATTTTTCTAATGAAATTACGTTTTTCTAATTAAATTACTTAACAAATGTTCACGATTGACTGCCACGGTGAAGGAATTACGCCGTGTAATAAAAATCAAACACGCAAAATTATAATTTGCGCAGTTACTAGTTCTAGGACCTCTTGTGAGTCCGCGCGGGTAGGTACCACCACCCTGCCTGTTTCTGCCGTGACGCACTAATGCGTTTCAATTTGGAGGGTGGGGCAGTCGTTGTACTGTAAAAAATGAGATCTTAGAACTCATGTCTTAAAGTGGCGGCATTTACATTGTAGATATCTTTGGGCTTAACCACTTAACACAAAATAGCGCGGGAGCTTTTTCACCCATCTAAGTATTAAATGGGCGACATGTATTACCTAGAAAATAATAACAATCAAAGTACGTACCGAACCATCAGCCAGTGCCTTCTGTACGTTGGGTAGATCAGCAGTCGGCACCCAGCATTCACCGATGAGGCACTTCTTCGTGACATCCATGTTGAACAGGTTTAGGGTGTGGTAGATGGCCTTCATCTTCCTCACCATTATAGTCCAGCTGGTCAGCTCCTTGGCAACACTTGCAAGCACACGTTGTCTGTGGTCGCGGGTTTGGTTCAAGACCTGTTACAATAAAATTAAATGCTGTTGTTATATATCTTTATACGATTTCTTATCCAACACATAAATTATTGTTTCGATATGTTAATTTTGTTTTATATTTGAAAATGTAAATGGCATAAAAACTTAATTTTTCAAATAAACATTTGTCACTTTTGCTACGTTATAGGATAAAATATTGTTATTAAATGGACTTTTTTATTAAGCGACATGATGCCGATTTGTCATTGTCGATTCTAGTGTGTGTCAAACATGTCGTGTCGGATCTTCTTGATCCAGTCCGGTTCTTTTAGATACATTCCAAGCACCGATCACCCTTATCGTCGACCATGGAAACAAAGAGTTCGACGTTCAACCTAACCCATAGATACTGTCCACTGAGTTTCTCGCCGGATCTTCGCAGTAACTCACGATTTCAATCCTGTGATAAAGTTTTAGCAAATTCCCTCAGCCTGAGCTCCGTGAGCTCACTACCGATCCGATGAAACAGGTGATCCGATGAATCGGGGATTAAGTACGGAAAAAGAGAGATTAACATTAAACATCTGTGATATTATAGGTCTTATAATTACCATGTTAAGGTCTTCGAGTCTGGTCCTGACTCCCTTGACCATGTCCTGTCGTTCGGTGTTAGAAGGCGGGCATGGGTACAGCGAGGCGTGGAAACCGGTGCACACTTTCTTGATGCGAGACTTTAGCTGTTCGCCTTGGAAGAACGCAACGAATACGGTCTTGTAGATCTCGTTACCCTAAAATTTATTAAAGGTCAGTCGAAACATTTACCTCAGCTATTTCGCTGCTGTATTATAGTAGATCGGGGGAAATAGGGACTAGAGGTAGAATAGGGACAGATCTGGGATATCACAATACTGAAATTTGTTGGGTTTTTAGAAATATTACTTTGTTGCACTGAAAAAGACTTTTATTTAGTGTTTAAGAATAATAAATACATAGTTTAATTTAGTCATCAAAGTTTTGTAACTCACAACTAACCTAACAACTAAATAGTGCCAGCCCTATCGAAAAATTCTGTTGTCCCCATACGTAACCTAATTCACCCCAAAGTCAAGATGAATCGGGTCAAGCTAGTTTTTTCAGTTTTTGTGTATATTTTGTAATGAACAATGTCTAATAACTCATCGTATATAAAAATGTAAGCCTCCGGAACCATTATGATCTCTGTTTTATTACTAAAAACTACAAAAAAAAACGATAATATCAATGTCGAACTTAAAGCGTCCCCCCATTTTACGGTATATTATTTTATTATGTATTCTTCGTTTCCTCACTGCTGAGGATCGTGACTACATGTGGATTTTCCTCCATAGTGTTCGGCCATGAGTGGCACGGACCGCATCGTATAGACTATCAGCAAGCGCTTTCTTAACCTGATCTGACCATCTGGCTGGTGTTCTGGTGAAAGATACAATTTATTACCGTAGCAGGATCTTCGAGCGGCTTATCCAGTTCAGCACGTCGCAGGAAGACGTTGCCTCTCGAGATACGCCACAGCATCCGTTCGAATGCGGGCACGCGCTCGCGCTGAACCACGCCCGCAACGAACCCGAGGCGGCCGCGAGTGGCCGCTTGTTGACCAGTCTCGTCAGATATTAAAGATCTATCATACAATTCATACTATTACTACTTTTTGATCTATACAATTTATTAAGTTATTTCGTTATGATCCACAAGTAAACCAGTCAATAATTCAAGTTTACCTAAAAGGACGAATACATAATACCAGAAAGTGGATTAAAAAAGTTTGAGGTTCTATGTCCGTATGTTCAAAGTGCGTATGACTTTATTGTAATACCAAATTACCATTATTGTACAGTTTTCATTGGCATAGAAGCAGAAATCTACTCACGCAAGAGCCACAAGGCAGAAATGAGGCAGAAATATGTGGGTCGGGGATGGTAGGTAGGTATATCAAATATGTTTTTGTTTGATCACACTTTAAATTTGGCAAGCAACGATTCCGTATAAATCAGTCATGAAATTAAAACCATCGCTACCATTTGATTAACTGATGTCATTGTCTAATTAATTCCTTCCCTTAAATCCTTTGAATTTCCAATCGATTTATAGTGGTCAATTCCAAACTGTAAAGCTTGCGGACATTTTGATCTTATATTTTATATTAGACATTAACTATCTATTCTGCATTTGAAATTTCGCTCCACAATGACTATTACAGCCATTTATCTGGCTCACTGAGTACTAGATACTAACTTGGTCAAAGAATCCATGCCGATTTCCTCCTGTGCGGTGAAGAAAGCTTCGGTCTTTTCAAGGACATGTCTCAATTCGGTCAACTCCAGATAGTTTTGTTTCAAGTTGACCGCGTTGTGTGACAGCTCGAGAATTTCGTTTTCGGTTTTCTCTAAATGTGCCTGACGATTGAATAATTCAAGAATCAGTATTCATAATCTTCTAAACAGCCACACGACCACGGCTGAGAATAATTCTTCTTCCCTACATTTTTCTGCATTAGTTAGAAGTGACTTGTATCCAGTAGGGATCTGAGACCTTTAGTAGTTCTCCATTAAAGCAAAATACTTGCTTTACTTTTTCTTTTCGTTACGTTGTAAAGTGGTTGTGAAATATTTTTGCCATAAATACCAGACTACCAAACTCAATAGACTGAGTCACACTGACTCGTCGATTGCGGCATGAGATCGAAGACCAAACTTTCATTGGATTAAGGCTATCTTACCGGATATTCATACTGTAGACGATGTTGCGTACTTTTTTGACAAAAACCTTTTACACCTTTTATAAAATTAACACTAAAAGTTCAGTAACGTATGTTCAAAATTTATGATTACTGGTAATCTATAGCTATGTCGTGAGAAAATCTATTGATTATTATTGAATCGATAAATTTCGTGTACTTCAAACTAAAATATTAGGTTTCAATTAAATAAAGCCGTTATAAACATCATTTGGAATAAAATATTATTAATTAGATATTTTTGTCAAAAACTCATTATTACATTTTATTCAGTCTTTACAAAGTTAGTGGGTGGTGTGGTGTTTTAAGATCATACACAGTAAAGAATTTTCCTACGTATTTCAGTTTCAAAACTGTCTGCTTTCAGTGCGGGACATCCTTTGTCTAATATGTAATAACACAAAATACATTTCCGAATCATATCGTGGATAGCTCGTGCATGTTGTGATGCCCCGATAACCCTTAAACATCAGTTGGATTATTATTAGCCACACGTTACATCACGTGTTACGCATTAATTTTAAGTAGAAAAAAATTCTTGTGATTTTTTTTAATGGGTATTAATATATTTCACAGAAATAATCATTGAAAGAACCAAGATCCCTTATAACTGGTATTGCTACTGTTTTTTTATTGGTGGTGTTATTGCACTCGCCTCCAAGTCAATGATTTCCCTCGGGTTGGGAGCACGGGGGGCTTCCTTGACGGCGGGAATGTGGACACCATCTTTGTGCACCTCAGCCTCGATGTACCGGAGTTTGCGTTCCATTTCATCGCAACGGCGCACCTCATTAACGAATTTCCTTTGGAAAGCATTTACGTCCGGATTTAACTGAAACATAAAATAATTTTTTACACATTAACTTTAGTGACAAATAGAACTAAAGTATCCGAAATACGGGAATTTTGTTATCTAATAAACTTAAGGATATGTAGGTACTTTTAACGATAGGACGCGATCGAAATTCACTAGTAACCAATAAAACGTCTCTTGAAACCCTTTCGAAACATAATTTTTACAATAGGTCCAAAAACGAAATTCCCACTTTCGTATTTTAAATTATTTAAAAGTAATTCTTTAATGTTGCCAATTTTAAAAATGTATTACTAAATTGAAAACATTCCGACGAGTTATTTAACGTAATCTTAAATTCTGTTCTCCAATTTCGCATTTTTATGCATTTTTGTGCATCGGTATCTCTTGTTGAATTGAGTAATTAAGATTTAAATCACTAAGTATTAATGAAGAGTTGAAAAGTGTGTTATTTATTTTAAACTAAAATATTTTATTAAAATACTGATATTAGCCTGGAAGAAGGTTATTTATACTACTAATCAATGAAAAAAATTTTGTTATTATGACCTATTTTTTTCATTAAATTATGAGAATTGAGTTAAACATCTAGGAAAAATAATAAGACTCACTGGTGGTAGGACCTCTTGTGAGTCCGCACGGGTAGGTACCACCACCCCGCCTATTTCTGCCGTGAAGCAGTAATGCGTTTCGGTTTGAAGGGTGGGGTAGCCGTTGTAACTATACTGAGACCTTAGAACTTATATCTCAAGGTGGGTGGCGCATTTACATTGTAGATGTCTATGGGCTCCAGTAACCACTTAACACCAGGTGGGCTGTGAGCTCGTCCACCCATCTAAGCAATAAAAAAAATAAAAAATACGAAAATAGATTTTACGAACTACAGTATACACCACGTAGAAACGAATGTTTTACCTTAAATTAACCATATTCGGTTTCCCGTAAACTATGTAGTAGATACAAAAGTGGGACGGCCCCATAAGGCGTTTGATGTCGATTAGCCTTCAGACTATTAAATTATCTATGCTTCAGACCGACTGAGGCGGGATGTTTTTTATACCAAGACCCGCAACAACTTAAACTTCGTTTGCATCTCGTGACATATCGTAGATGTCAAACCAATTGTGCAAAAACTATAAAGTTAAAACACTGAATGGTTTTTACTGGCGGTAGGACCTCTTGTGAGTCCGCGCGGGTGGGTACCACCACCCTGCCTATTTCTGCCGTGAAGCAGTAATGCGTTTCGGTTTGAAGGGTGGCGCAGCCGTTGTAACTATACTTGAGACCTTAGAACTTATATCTCAAAATGGGTGGCGCATTTACGTTGTGGATGTCTATGGGCTCCAGTAACCACTTAACACCAGGTGGGCTGTGAGCTCGTCAACTCATCTAAGCAATAAAAAAAATGACGTTTTCCTCAATTTTTTATAAATTAATATAAAATAAAGTTACTTTATTTTAATTTATTTTTAGAGTTCGAAATCTATTAATCAATTTATTTTTATCAATTTAGCAAAGTCTGCAAACAGTGCAACATTGCAGATATTGGTTTGACAGCGACATTAAGCTAACATTAATTACTTAGCGAACGAGCGATATTTAAAATGTTTGAACAATTGAGATTCCTGCACCTCTGGAATCTACAATAACAAAACATCGAAGCGTCCGCATCATCACGTTATTATGAATAATGATTAATAGCTATAGTCTCGTGAAACAACAAGTGCCTTGCTCGCTTCGGTTGAATGCAGAACACGCGGGAAAAAAAAACAACAATTTACATCAACGTTCGTTCATGGAAAAGTGTTAAATTATATTAATCATCATATATTATACATTCATAACGAAGTAAACCGTAAATGTATGTTTATAATTTAAATATTAATACGTGAAGCAAAAACTTTGTACCCCTTTTTACGAAAATTGTGCGGACGGAGGAGTATTAAATTTCCCACGCTTATACAGAATATAGAGAAGGAGTGCAGAATACTATTTTTTTTTAAATTGTGCGTTAATAATACATTAAATCAATAAATAAAACATTATACACACTACCATATATTTGACACACACACATATTTAAACTCTTTATTTACTGTCAAACGTTTGTTACTGCTTAAAGTCTGTGGTCAAATTGAGAATAGGTTAATATTGTTTATCTTTAATATTATTTGTCTATAGTCTACTCTTAGTAAAGTATGTGATTCTAGAATTATAATAGTCTTTGACAATAGAATCATAATAATTTCCAAACTTATAATTTCAATTAATTATAGTCGAATTTCGACTACTACGGGACCACTAGTTTACTTAAGTACAATGCTGAAAGCTGTGTGCTTAGTGCGAGTTTTTTAACGTTCTCGATAGCGTAAAAGTTAACCCAATTTTGTATGCAGTTGGAACAGCGCCCCTAGCGGCAAACGTAGGCAAATGATCCCTTTCCATACAAATATGAGTTAACTTTTACGCTATAGAGAACGTTAAAAAACTCGCACTAAGCACACTGTACGATTGTTTTGACGATAACCGGACCGGTTTGCGGAGGAGCGCGCAGCTGGCGTTCGTCCTTAGTCACTCACGCTTGACTATCACTGTATTGTAGGGAGTATAAAATTACAACGACAATTCGAATTCAAGGACATCTACAGTGAATGAAAGTAAAGCGGTATTAACAAAAATAATAAAAATTAAACGATAATATTTTGTTTATGTTTTTTTATGTTTTTATTTTTATTGTTTAGGTGGTTAATGGTGGTGGTTTAGTGGTTACCAGAGTCCATCTACAACGTAAACTCCGCCATCTACTCTGAGTTATGAGTTCTAAGGTCTCAGTTTTTACAATAAAACAGCTGTCCCACCCTTCAAACCGATACGTATTACTTACTGCTTCACGGCAGAAATAGGGTAGCAACCAATCTTAGACGGTTATAACCGGCTTCTAATTATTGTCGCCGGTTGTTTTTGTTTGTTGTTGAAACCGGAAAGCGGTTAACGAATCCCGAAATGCTCAGTACAGATAAACTCACAAGAGTTTAAAACTTGATATTGAGAAAAACTCGCAAGTAAGTTATGAGAAGTTATGAGCACTTGGTGATTTTCAGTAAGACAATAAATATTCTGACACAGGGGTGCTTCTTTGAATTTGAAAAATTTAAAGCTGTGAGATAAATGTGTAAGCAAATAAGATTTTTTTTTCTACTTAGTGACACACCTCGTAATGTACCTAAACATAATACATTTCACAAATTCGGTCATTTTCTAAACATTCGCGCTTTTAAAAACCAAACAGCGTAACACTATTGCGCAAGTGAAATTGTATTCAATTTGGTCAGCCTTTCGTATCCGACGCTGCATTATTGTCGTCTGATTACTATTTCAGACGTGAACCCTCAGATAGAATAAAAATTCCAGTGAATTATTTAGTCGGCTTCGACTTTAAAAAATTACCTATGTAACAACTTGGACCTTAGAAAATACGATCAAATGTTAGTATTAATTTAAATCAATCCTCAATATATTACTATATGTTTTTACAAACTAAGTTTCAATAATTTTATGATAAAGAAACTCCATAATACATTTTTAATAGTTTATTTAATGCTTTCTTAAATGAAATCGATCACACCCAATCAACCTCGGCATTTCGCGTCGCCTTGAAAGAAGTTAGTAACATGTGTATTCGAACTTTCAAATCAAATAACACGCACGTATCCAGTGTTAACTGTCTGTAAGTTAATTTATGCACATATCCGACCTGTCTGGATCGCCGCGAGCAAGGAGAGACCGACCTTGTGGGACCAACTCCGCGGACCACACGGTGGTCGGTGCCACTGCGCCGCCTTGATAAAACCTTTCTCGCGTGACAGATCGAACGTTTTGCTAATGCATAAAATAACTTTTTGGCATTGGTTTTTTTCCGTTGCCGTGACGTAGCTTACTCGGTTAATATATAGCTATGAAGAATTTTTTATTATTTATTTTAGCTTGTAAGTCACCAAGGGTATAATAGCACCCATCCTATTTATTTCAGGCTTGAAGCGTGGGGTAGCGGTTTTATAACACAATTGAGACATCGACCTCATACCTTAAACTGGACTAAACGGCAGTCACGTCTATGGGTTCTGTAATGAAAAATATCTGTGCAAAAATTTTATATAAATTAAATTCAGTATCGTTTGTTTAAATAAATAAATGTATTGTTAAAATGGTTTCTCTTTGAAATGCTTAACCCCTTAAATATGTCATACTGAAAATAAGTATACCTAATAATACCTATGTTTTACGCTTGTGACTTAAGTACGTAGGTAGGTATATTGACTTTTAGACATACAAACTTGAGTTATGTACGTGTCAAAATTTAATATTACTTAGTCGTACCTTAAAAAATCCGGTTACTGATTATATTGCGGTTTATGTAGAGTGTTTTTCTATGACATATTCCTCTTCAATCGAGATTTTCGCAGAGTATTAGACAGCGATTTGGCTGAACCTCTGGCGTTGCTGGCGCTCATAAACGATGGTAATCAAAGACCGTAAGGTGAGCAAAAAAGATATACTCACATCTCTGAACTGCACGCTGCCGGCTTCACCAAGCTCTGAGACGGAGGTATAAGCCGCCTCGGGCTGAATGAAGAGTTGGCACAAAGCCATCTCCTCGCTCCGGAACATAGCCCCCATCCTGTACGATTTCTAGGACCCCGTTTACTGTAAACAAAACCTTGAATTAGAACAATTATTTAAAGTTTTAATCAACATTAATGTTTTAGATCTACCACTAGACTTTAGATCTATCCCACTTATGTAAAGCTCTCTCTCTTTAAGACGGTTAGCTGGTAGATAACTCAATTGTTGAGTCAAGCTCGCCATTTTATAACTTTTCGCAATTATTGAATTGTATTAACTGTGTGTTAACAAACAACAAAGAATAAAGCGAATCTTGTTTTTTATAAATATAATATTACTTTCCCTCTAGCTTCACTTGCGTGGACTATACCTACACTTCATATCGTGGGTGTGGAGACTAGTGATTCAGTATCGTGATGAAAGATAGAGTATACTTTTATTCTTTGCCGGGGCTCAAACCATTCCATACTGAATTTCGTCAAAATCAGTCCAGTGCAGACGAAGTTCCTTTAATAGCCACAAAATTGTTTTCTATGTAAACTAAACTTCTAATCTAATAGTACAAAAGCAATAAAAACATTAAATAACGGTAATAATGATACAAAAGCAATTAAAAAAAAATAATTACAGTAATATTTGGAACATCGGATTTCAAAGAGAAAGACTCTATGCTCGGCTCAAAACCCAATAATATATGTGTAACTATGACTACATGAAAATCCATTCAGTAATTCCGGATATATGCACGAGCAAACACACAATATAGATAAAAAAATACGTTCTAAAAACCGTTGGTTTATCGACATATCGTTTTACTCTAGGACTCTTCTTTAGTAACCCCTTTTTTATTTTATTAACTGGCTCTTACTGTTTCATTATGCGTATTTATCTTTCGGGGCCAAGTGTTCTGAAATTCTTAGATAAACATTAGACAATATTTACTGGTGGTAGGATCACTTGTGTGTCCGCAGGGGTAGGTACCGCCGCCCTGCCTATTTCTGCCGTGGAGCAGTAATGCGTTTCGGTTTGAAGGGTGGGGCAGCCGTTGTAACTATACTTGATACCTTAGAACTTATATCTCAAGGTGGGTGGCGCAATTACGTTGTAGATGTCTATGGGCTCCAGTAACCACTTAACATCAAGTGGGCTGTGAGCTCGTCCACCCATCTAAGCAATAAAAAAAAGAAGTTTATTCGCAACAGTTTATGCCTCTATTGTACGCTTTCATTTTCACTTGAAAACACCTACACAAACAAAAACGCATTGTACTTTGGGCAAGTGATCCAATTCAGCGCATAATAACAAAAGTATTATAGGTCTTCAAAGTTTTAATTGTAAACTTTACCGTATTTATTATACGAAATTAGAATTATTTGTACTATGAAATTTGTAGGTACAGCTGTTTAAAAAAACGTGAATAATAAGTTATTTCATTTGTCTGTATGTGTTACTCTGAAAGATGTATTTGATGAATTAGTCAGTTGCTTAATGTCAGCGTATTTTACAATAATTTCCTGTTCACTGTTAGTAATTCCAACCTTTTTTTTATTTTTTATGATTGAAAGTTTACTGGTGGCCCGAAGGCCTTTCCAGTTTCACCAGGACAGGTGGGCGAGCAAAGGCTCAGCCAATTCCAACCTGTGAGATAAGACGTTTATATTGAAATGAATGCTATGTTTAATGAGTGATGTAATTTTATATTCGCCTTTCATGATCATTAAAAGCCGTGCGATATTAATTACATACAAACATTTGTGTTTAAAAGAGAAATTAGCTTTAAGTTTATTGGCGATCTCGTGTCTTGCAACTAAATTACGCATGTTCAATAAATAACGATTTGAAAGACTGAATGTCACAAAAGCTACATACTATTCGAATATTTCACAGTGTAGAGCACGCTTCGAACCAATGACAGAAACTTTTTTTGGTAATAGTATAATAATACAATAATAATAATAATAAAGCCTTTTATTTCCCCTCAGTTAATATTACATGTAAATATTTTTAAATATATATGATCTTTACATTACGATCGATTTACAATACAAAAAACTCTGATATAAACAAGTTTAATTTAATATCAGTTTTTTTTTCATTATTGTTATTTTTTCGATAGAAACCCATTATTTGGGTAAAGGCTTCCTCCAGTTCAGTCCTTTCCTTCTTTTCCCCGTTAGGTCCTTTCCTTTTTTGTAAATACCAAATGTATAGTAGCAAAATAAAAAATATAAAAATAATATGGCACAACTCGTGTCAAATCCCCATGCAGCATTATAAGAGGGTGTGCTATGTAATAAATTATTAGTATTATAATTATAATATAGGATCAAATAAAAAAAGAAGTAGAACATTAACCACGTGCTCAATATCGGTTTCCGATGAGGGAATAACATTTTCCTACACAACTTTTTTAAGTTTGGTATAAAAAATTGTTCGGGTCACTGTTAGCTGCAAATCGATTTGTTGATCCTATCTACGTTGTAGACTATCTTAATAACTATCTTAATAATTATTATTATCAGCGATTGGGTAGGGAATAATAATAATTATTGGTAGGTAGGTAATAGGTATTGCTAGCCTAAAGATTTATTCCAGCTAAAGTTGCACAACGAAAACTGCGGTAGAAATTGCCAGGACGGTTCCATCCGTGAGAGGTCAAAACATGCCATTGTACCTATAAAACTTTCCTCTGGAAGTTACGTGTAGCTGCTGATTGCACTTCAAGTATAAAAAGAAAAGAACCAATGTTCCCTGAGCTTATCAAATGAATGCTGCATTGTTAGTAGTATATATAATTGCTGACTAGCGAATTAAACTGAATTCTTTCACGCGAAGCACGGTGGTCGCCATTAGACACACCTGTCTCAGATTATACTGAGCTCGCTCTGTTCGACACTTGTAACAAATTTAGTAAGAAAATCAACTTTACAAAGATTACATTAGAATCCATTTTCGCGGACCCATCTTATGAATATGAGGACATCACATGTTTTAATCAAGACCGAGGGTTGAGCTGCTATTGCATTTTGCAAAACTTATCGCTGAAGTGCCAATTGAAGCATGATGTCATACAAGTATTGACTTGTTGATATCATCAAATAAAATGAATAGTAAATAAGATATCTATACTAATATTATCTATACCTCTATACTAATCTATACTAATATAAAAGAGGAAAGATTTGTTTGTTTGTTTGTTTGTATTGAATAGGCTCCGAAACTACTGAACCGATTCTTTCACTGTTTGGAAGCTGCATTATTCCCGAGTGACATAGGCTATAATCTTTTTTGAAAAAAATTAGGGATCCTTGCTAAAACTCCAATAATATAACCCAAGGTGTAAAAAAATTTCCTAAAATATTCTTTACATTGCGTGCCCTGCGAAAACGATTGATGATAGAATAAAATAATGTATTGCGACTTTGTAGAACACATAATTATTTACAAAAAGTGTCGCGACAGCATATGTCTGACTATTATAGTTATGCCACAATAAGTGTTCTTTTATTGAAAAAAATAAAACAACGTCAAATATCGTTGAAATGTTTTGTTAAAGACCCGAGCGGAGCCGGAGCGGGCCGCTAGTGCAAGATATTGTTATTAGAGAACCATTATTAATAACAACAGAACAAATACAAGATCAATTCGTTAGTGAAGTGTATCGTCCCAGAAAAACTTGAACGGGTTGTGTGCAACTGGCATGAAGCGTATCAAATATTCGACACGCGTACTTTTGCTCAGAGTTGTTTTCAAAGCAAATTGAATTTATAGACCTAGCCTATATTAGCCTAGCTTATTCCGTAGTTAGATCGTGTATTATCAAATAACGTTTTTATTTTTTTATTTTTTATTACTTAGATGGGTCGACGAGCTCACAGCCCCCCTGGTGTTAAGTGGTTACTGGGGCCCATAGGCATCTACAACGTAAATGCGCCACCCACCTTGAGATATAAGTTCTAAGGTCTCAAGTATAGTTACAACGGCTGCCCCACCCTTCAAATCGAAACGCATTACTGCTTCACGGCAGAAATAGGCCGGGTGGTGGCACCCACCCGCGCGGACTCACAAGAGGTCCTACCACCAGTAATAACGTTATTCGAAAAGGAAAACACACGGAATTTATTTACAATGTGATTTTTAAGTGCACTTTAAACTCTGATCAAACAAGTCTAGACACGAATTTATGAGCAGATGCTACAATTTAATGATAAATCATCACAAATTTCAACCATTACCTATCAAACTGTATTGGTGATCCTCTTCTATTTCTGCTGTGAACTGTGTCATACGTTTCGGTTTGAAGGATGGGATAGTTGCTACGAATAAATAATAAGTCTATTTATTCGTAAGATAGTTGTCATAATTTTAAGACTTCACATTTTTTTTTTTTTTATTGCCCTAGTAGGCAGACGAGCATACGGCCCACCTGATGGTGAGTGGTTACCGTCGCCCATGGACTTCAGCAATGCCAGGGGCAGAGCCGAGCTGCTGCCTACCGAAAGCCGCTTCGTGTTCCCTTAGTTTTCACATTCACGTTTTTTATATTTAAAAAATACATTAAACATGTACCTATGTATGTATATTGCATTAAATAGACATGCTTATATGTTTAATTCAATTTTAATAAATATATTTTACAGACAATTAGTCCGGAATAAATGGTCAAATAAATATCTGAAGTCGTCGTGGCCTAAAAGATAAGACCGCCCGTTGCATTCATATTATGTAGCTATGCATCGGTGTTCGAATCCCACCCACAGGTACTAATTTTTCCAATGAAATATGTACTTAACAAATGTTCACGTTGACTTCCACGGTGAAGGAGTAACATCGTGTAAAAAAAATCAAACCCGCAGTAGGACGTCTTGTGTCAAAAAAAAAATGATCTTGGTTCAAAATGACAAGCTCCATTTAATAAGGTTATTTGTCTATCTAATATTGAGGCAGTGATTGAACATCTCATCTTCTCTACGATAATATTACCAGTCAGTGATGAAGGAATTAGCGATTCGTGGCCGACTACAAGGCCGATTGTTTTTGCGCTTTTTATTCCAACCACGAACTGTTACGTCGATAGTTTT